CCCGTGTGTGGACGAGTGAACATAGACAATCCCAGTCCCTGGCTCTACCACCTCTGTTATGGAGCCTTGACCATTTGTGGGTGGCGGAGTGCCCTGAGCAGCCTGGTTAGGTGTAGGGCTCACCCGAGCATTGGTCTGAGGTAACTCAGGTTGAGGTTGGAGCGCAGGCTGAGGTTGGGGGGCAATCTGGGTTTGGGGTGTAACCTGGGCTTCAGGAACCTGAGCCTGAGGCTGAGGAGCAACTTGGGGTTGAGGAGCAGGCTGAGTTTGGGGAGCCTGGGGCTGAGGTTGAGGAGCAATCTGGGGTTGAGGGGCAGGCTGAGTTTGAGGAGCAATCTGTGGTTGAGGAGCAGGCTGAGTTTGAGTAGGCTGGGGCTGAGGTTGAGGAGGCTGAGGGGTGTCCTCAGCAGGCGCAGGCGCACGGCTGGACGCCCGCGAGTGTTGCGCAGACGTGTGTGCCGATGAGTTGACCCCTGTGTTCTCCATCGCTCGTCCATATCGTGATGGAGGAATCACGGGCGTCATCTTCGACGGCAAAGTGTTGCTACGATGTACCCCCACACCACCCAATGAGGTCGGCGTTGCAGGGCTTGCAGCATTGGAGTTGCGCGAATTCTTCGATGAGACAGACACATTCCGGCGCAAACTTCCATACTTTCGGAAGCTCTCCGCACCGCCACTGGCACTCGACACCGAGCGTCGAACGTTGGAATGAGTGGTGGGCCGGCGGGCCAGACCTCCTTCGACCTCCTTGACCGTCTGCTCGTCGGCGGCGGTGCCGTTCATACCAAACAAAAAGTGGTCCTGGTTCTCAATCAGAAAAATGAGGACATCCTGACTCAACTTGTATTCGTCTGGAGACATGTCGTGCTGCGGATGCGACAACAATCCTGGTTGGAAGATGGCAGACAGATTGGCCGACGTCATGCGATTCTGATCCGACTTGGACGCAAAGACAGCTAGCAGGTCGAGAATGTAGAGCAACAGCTGTTTGTTCAACGGGGGCAGCTCGCGGATCAACTGCTGGTAAGCCGCGACCGCTTTGGCATGATCGAAGGCCTCCGTTTCCGCGGGCGGGGCGTTGTTCTGAATCTGTTCCTGGACCTGTCGTTGATATGTGCGTAGGGGTTCGCGAAACCGTTCGTAAAAGTCGAGCGGGACAATGGGTTCGGGCAGCTGGTTCAAATAGCGCCGAAGAACGTTTGCAGCATCATGCACAGTGTAGCCAGTCCAATCCAAGCCCTTTCCATACCGTTCGGGGGAGTCGAAGATTTCCTGGAGATCTTTGATGCGCTTTGCAGAGCCACTCAGACGGAAGATGCCCTCAACGTCGGTCGCTAGCGAGAAATACGTTAGCACCGATCTTATCGCACGGCCAGCATGGTCGATATACCTTTCTCTTTTAAATAAACTCCACATTTTGCGACCACGATGGGGACGTATCCGTAGATGAAGCTCTCGCCGTTGTCGTTGGTGAGGGAAATGGCGACGTTGGCGTACTTGATGCTGACGTTGAGGGGGATACCGAATATACCCTGGGGTTTCTCTGCAGTTCATTAGCATGTGTTGAAAGTAGAGCCCATCAAACGCGACATTCAAGTAGCTAAGGAACTGCATGCTGCAAAAGGCGACAGGCGTCGATGCGATGGGATCCCACGGACGCCCCACGATCGCATCGCCGCCGAGCTTCCCCGCAGCGCAGCAAAACCATCCCAAGATCCTAGTATACCACCACACATACCTTTTGGTTCCTCCTTTCTGGTATTTCTCTTGAATTGTCTCCACCAGGAAGCCAAATCACGTTTCGACGGCGGCGAGGTTGCGATAGTCTCAGGGGGGGCAGCGGTGGGTGGAAGCCGGTGCAGGGGATCGACACCCGGGTGCGACTTGCCGGTGGTAACCATCGTGGGCAGTGCGCGATGAAAATGAGGGTTCCAGACGAGATGCGACGTGCCTGCGAAGGTATAGAAATATAGCGACCGGACCAGACCCTGCTAATCCGAGGCCTCCGTCACCGCCCTTGTTGTTGGCGCGAGAAATTCCGGGGCTGGGAGGCGTGATCCCAAAATAGCACGAGGACTAGTCAGGCAGCGGATTTTAAGTGCCGCGCCGTCCGAAACACGTACAGTAGCAGGGAACCGGTAAAAGAGACACTGGGAATTTTTCCGACGGTGGAGAGAAGAGATGGAAGACAGAGAAGGGTGGACAACGCACGAAGGAGAAAGACAGGGGAGATAGGGAGGGATGGAGTGAGAAATGAAAGGAGGTTAACAAGGGAACGCAGGAAGCTGGAGTAGATGTAGGAGGGAGAGAGGGGGGGGGAAGATGGGGGCAGGCAGGCAGCGCTGGCAAGAACGAGACGAAGCAGGACAGAACACGAGCAAATCAACGAATGCCGGACTGTCCGTCAACGATGAACGGTTCGGGGGGGAGAAGATGGTGGTGGTAAATGATGAGCAACAATAAGGGAGTCTAGCAATCAGGAATGAACCTCAGGCTGAGAGGCTGATTTGGGGCCCTCCGACAGGGCGGATGGGACTGTGGTTGCGTGGGTGAGCAGCAGCAGAGATGCTTCTTGGCTGGTCTGGGGGTGAAACCAATGACCATCATCTGAACCAAGGAAACGCGAGAGCTGCAGTCAGATCGATAGATACCTCGGAGAGTTGGTCGTTGTCGTTGTAGATGGTGACGATGGTGGTGGTTACTATGCGTGATGATGGGGGGATGGTGGAGGATGAATGAAGATGATTGTGGAGGAGACAGGAGGAGAGACAGGAGGGAAATAATGGAAAGGATGGAGCAACCGACGGACAACCAACCAGCCAAACTGCGTGACAACCGGACGAACCTGCTTGGAGGCGTGGTGCTGTAGGCGGGACCCAAAGGGGAAGACGGAGAGGTAAAAGAACAAGAAGAGGAATGACCAGTTCAGTCACCAGTTCATCCACCAGTCAGACTATGTATCTCTTCCTCGCAGCACCAGAACGAGGGATCAGAAGTAAAGGAAGGAAGGAAGGAATGAATGAATCAATCCAAGATACGTAGTTAGAATAGAAATAGGATAGATGTGTCAATCAGAAGATGGGAACGAGAAGGGGGAGAAATGGGAAATTGAAAACACCCCCCGCCAAGCATGGAGATGGATTTGTTGCTCTCCTGAGAATTGAAGTTCTGGCAAGTGGCCCTGCTTGGGACCAGACCCCAGGGTTCCAGGGTTGATGGTTTGACCTCGACCAAACAGGTCCCTTTTTTTTGTGCCCTTTTTTCCTTTTTTTCTTTACTTATTTTCTCTTGTTATTTTTTAAAAAATCCTTATTACGGAGTATTATCTACTAATTTTGCTTATTTTTAACCGCCATTTCCATTTCTTGTTTTTATTTTTATTTTTTTCTTTTGGGACTCGGTTCCTTCTTCTGCTTATTATTTTTCCAGGTCCGTCGGTTCTGGCCCTGGTTCTAGTCGACCCTCCGGCACACTAGCATGGGACACTAACTGGACCATTCTTCAATCATTCCGCTACGCTGGTTAGATTGCCCCAGTTCTAGCCAATTGCGTCAAGGCCCCTCTGAGACATGAGGCTATCCGGAGACCACACTCAAATGGACTCGCTCTCCATCCGGATAAGGATTCTCGAATGCAGAATACCCTCTCTCTCTCTCTCTCTCTCTCCCCTCTTTTCCGACCGGGTGATCCCCTCACTGAATGTGTGAATGAATGAACCTTGTCTCCCTGTTGACTCACTGTCGCCTCCTCATGGCCGATCAGAAAACTATAAATTGAGAAGAGGAAAGATACTCTCCATTCCGCCAAGCTGCTACTACTACGTTTACAACAAGGTATATAGGCTGCCTGTCGACCCATCGGCTGCTCGTGGTTCTAGCTAAAAATATGGTCATGGACCCCCTGATGCAACCCTTATGGCGCTTCCCCTTGAGCAGCGATGCCGCACCATCAGGGTCTTACCGCGGTTCTCCAACCATCGACTGATGTGGCTGTCATCCCAAACGGCCCGAGAGAATGCTGACCCCGCGTCTAGTGGTTTAGTTCGGTCGTGGTGCGAGATTCGCTTGCCCGAACTAGTCCGTCAGCTGCCGATCTCAGGAGTGCAGTTCCAGGTGGCCACTCATCTATCTACAACAGCTTACCCACCAGGCTGTTGGGCTGGATCCCTCGCCAGGTTGATCGTAGGGCCGACTCTTCAGTAGCTCGACTTTGTACATACCGAATATAGGAACGTCCGAAGTGATGGTGAAATGAGGGGAAGCTTATGCCATTGATTGAATCATCACATTCAATCTCAAACATCCAAGACTAAGCTTACTCCATGCACACAACACATGGAATATCCCCTGTTGGAGTGCACGTAAGTCCCAAGACATAGATATACAGCTCCAGCTCAGGCGCGGTGTTAGTTAAATGGGTCAATTTACGTAGGTATAAAAACAACAACCAACCAGAGATACTGCTATATGTTCACGACTATCATTGGAAGACAATTTGCCCCTATCCGAGTGGCTGGTACCACATAATTTCTTGAGATAGGTGGCTTACTGGTCTGCTGATCTCGGTGGCACATCTTCCACGCAATCACCTACGGGACAGCAATATAGTTTTGTATACTGGGTCCGCTAGAAGTCAGCTAACAACTTGACCAGCTCCATTCCAACAATCGACCCGTGCAAGCTCTGAGCATGATACTCCGCAAAAGCAATGAAATCACCCCGACCACGATCCCACTAAGCTCCGGATTGGAATGTGAAATGGTTCTCCCCAGAACAAAACTTCCTAGATCCTTCGATCGAAGCCGGCTAAGACCTGTCGATTTTCTTGGAAGAATCATCCAACAAGCACCAAAGGTGGCTCCTGGCCGAGTCATTGCGGTGGGAATCCAAAGAAGATCTTTGTCCTTCTGGGTTGCTTCTCGACTTCATGGACCTCCGGTTGTGGACGGCGAACCATGGTTCTGGCGAATGAAAGTCTGGGGCCAGCTGGCCGTTGTGCTTTTTTTAACTTGCCCAAAGAATGGAACAGCGCCAGCTAGATTGTCCTGCTGTTTGCCGTTTTGGGATTGCCCTCGGTTCCGGCACTGGATGAGTCAGCTCATTCACCCGCGGTCCGCGTCCGGTCACCTGATCGGAGTTGAATTATGCACGTGATCACATCAGAGCCTGCGGTCCGTTGAGCAGCTCCGGAGCTACGGTCGTCATCACGACCCAGGCCTCTTGTTATCAACACTACCCTTTTTGATCAACCTAACTTCAGTCCAATCACATCACAATGGAATCGTAAGCAGCTCACCTTTCCATGCCTTCTATCATAAGTTCCCCAGACGTGTACTAACCAGTCCCAGCCTCAACGCCTCTGAGCAGCGTGAGCTCGCCTCTCGCATGGAGAGACGCCAGATGAAGGAATTCATGACCGTACGTGAGACCTGAAATAAACAGACATCCTTTCGCGTCGAACTCGGATCCAATCTACACACCGTCTATACCTCCCTGACCCATCCAATTCCTCCCTCCGCCTATCATCATCCATCATCCATCTATATCATCCCTAGCTGGCCTTTTCAATTCTAATCTCATCTCCATAGATGTACTCCAAGCTCGTCCAGCGCTGCTTCGATGACTGTGTCAACGACTTCACCACCAAGTCCCTTATCAACCGCGAAGAGGGCTGTGTCCTGCGTTGTGTCGACAAGTTCATGAAGGGATCGGCTCGCCTGAACGAGCGGTTCCAGGAACAGAACCAGGCCATGATGATGCAGGGACAACAGCGGTAAATGGGAATTTAGCATGGGGTTCGGTTGCTTTGCTTTGCCTTGACTTTGGCGGTTTCTGTATAAAATATTAGAATTTTTGCAATGATGACATCCCCTAATGGCCGGCGATGGGCTCCGCTCGCTCTTGAGGAGCAAGTTTGGTTGCCGAGATCACAGTATGGAGGTATACTGTTGCTGCCGTGATTGTAATATATGGAATGAAATAGCATTGAGTAAACTGTGCTGTCTAGGATGTTGGCTAGTTGTAGCATGTATCAGGCAGGCATCATGGGTACCTCATCTACAGCGATGAATGTCATATTAAGATTAATGGAGTCATTATTTGACTTTCTCCAATTCTTTTCATTCTCCAAAAATTATGAGGGGATCTCTCCCCAAGAATACTTCTACAAAAGGTCTAGCTACGAGCCTTGATGTAAGTAGTGACTGGAGCTGTGTTGATACAACGAGAATCAAACTTACCCGATCGGGACGCCGACAGTCAGCCGTCGGGCCTCTTGGCATGCACGGGCCAAGAGAGCCGGAAAACATTACCTAACCGGGTTATGCCTGAGTCATCGCATCGTCTGTCCCAATGGAGTCATTCTGTACGCCAGACGAGTGACTATCTACATAGTTATCTTTCTCTACTAGAGGGATATCAAAAGAATGGAGCTCCCTTACGTGCCCTTGAATGCATTGAGACTACTTTGGCGGAGATTGACCCTCCATGATAGATAACGCATCCAGTAGCTCCAGTCAAGGCCCACTACAAACTGACAATACCGGGACCGAACCCTGCCCGCCACCCTCATACACACTCATGCGGAGGTATGAGGGGATGAATGGTTAGTGTATGCGAGATAAATGATGCAAGACGGAGGAATTGATGGTATCGGGATGTGTACCCGAAACCCGGACGTCTAGAATGTGCCCAGCAAACAGAGCAAAACAGAACAAAAAGGGAGTGCCCCTCACGGCGCCCCTCTTCTAACCCCCCTCGTGCTCCCCTCATCGGCCAACTCCACCGTCTTTGCCGACCCGACCACTCTGCTGCCAATTTATTGCAGGCTCAACCTCGAGCTTCATTCTTCCTCTTCTTTCATCCTTTTCTTCCCTTTTCTCATCCTTTTCATTCCCTTGATTCCCTCTTCCGGTTCCTTCCGGTTCAGTGATTGCCACCATTTTTGCCTGATTCATCATGGCCAGCACTGTCGGACAGGTGAGTTTGTTTGTTCCAGCTCTAGCAACGACCAGCATTGACGTGTGTTTTGGCTAACTCTTCTAGACCATCACCTGCAAGGTAAGAAGCACTCGAACAGTCATCTCCACGATACAGTATGCCAACCAGTTTGTAGGCTGCCGTCGCCTGGGGCGCCGGAGAGCCTCTCTCCGTTGAGGACGTCGAAGTTGCTCCTCCCAAGGCCCACGAGGTCCGCATCCAGGTCCTCCACACTGGTGTCTGCCACACAGGTTGGTGATTTGAAACAGCGGGATTGAGCAAGGCTGACCGATCCAGATGCCTACACTCTCTCCGGAAAGGACCCCGAAGGTGCTTTCCCCGTTGTTCTGGGTCACGAGGGTGCCGGTATCGTCGAGTCCGTCGGCGAGGGCGTTACCTCCGTGAAGCCCGGTGACTATGTCGTTGCTCTCTAGTAAGAAAACCTTTTGCAGTCGCAGACTGCGATTGCTAACGTTTCCAGCACCCCCGAGTGCCGTGAGTGCAAGTTCTGCAAGTCCGGCAAGACCAACCTCTGCGGTAAGATTCGTGCCACCCAGGGCAAGGGTGTGATGCCCGACGGCACCTCCCGTTTTAAGGCCCGCGGCAAGGACCTGCTGCACTTCATGGGTACCTCCACCTTCTCCCAGTACACCGTCGTGGCCGACATCTCCGTTGTCGCCGTGACCCCCAAGATCCCCACGGACCGTTCCTGCCTGCTTGGCTGTGGTATCACCACCGGTTACGGTGCGGCCGTTGTCACCGCCAAGGTGGAGGAGGGCTCTAACATTGCCGTCTTCGGTGCCGGCTGTGTCGGTCTCTCGGTCATCCAGGGTGCGGTCAAGAACAAGGCTGGCCGCATCATCGTGGTCGATGTCAACGACGGCAAGGAGGCGTGGGCCCGCAAGTTTGGTGCCACGGACTTTGTCAACCCTACCAAGCTGGGCGGCAAGACCATCCAGGAGCAGCTGATTGAGATGACGGACGGCGGTTGCGACTACACTTTCGACTGCACTGGTAACGTTGGTGTGATGCGGGCTGCCCTGGAGGCGTGCCACAAGGGATGGGGTGAGAGTATCATCATCGGTGTTGCTGCTGCTGGCCAGGAGATTTCCACTCGCCGTGAGTTTTTTTCAATGTCCAAAATATGACGCGATGCTAACTGATTGCAGCATTCCAACTGGTCACTGGCCGTGTGTGGAAGGGATGCGCCTTTGGTGGTATCAAGGGCCGCACGCAGCTTCCGGGATTGGTTGACGACTACCTGAACGGACAGCTGAAGGTGGACGAGTTCATTACGCACCGCGAGAAGCTGTCTGAGATCAACAAGGCGTTTGAGCAGATGAAGGCGGGCGACTGCGTTCGCTGCGTTGTTGACCTGTCATAACCTGTCATAATGTACACTGATGATAATTCAATGAAAAAATTACGAGTTAGCTAGAAGTGTCTATAAGCAGTAGTATCGAAGGTCTATATATAGGCAGTAGTCTCCAAGGTCCCCAGCTATAGAGTAGTAGGACCTTGTGGTTTACAATACACAACACTGTCTGCAGCAAGTTAACACCACTGCAAGTACGGAGTACACGAGAAGAACAACGCGCTGATCATAACCCCTCACCTCACTACTAGCCACCTACTTATCCTTAAATACAATACACTATATACTAAGACAGCTCCACAACAGATACCCCCTATCTAATCAGTAAGTACCACTATCACTATCACTATCACGATATCGGAGGACCATCCGCTAGTAGTCAGCACCTACAAGCAAGATAGTTAATCTTATCACCACCCCGATAATCACATCCAAACTTAGTAGTAAAATAATACCTATACTGCAGTACGGGCAACCTCCGAGCAAAGAGACGCTTAAACTCGGTAATTAATGCCATCAGAAGAGGGGTAAATGAGTAGATCGGCTCCGGGATCGGATTGCTCCTTATATCAGTATCTACTACTAGTATCTGCTAGTATGGCCGTGTATATATACTTCCGTCACTACCACCACTACCAACACCCACCCTCATACATCTTCACTCAACTCAGTACTACCATTTTCACTACCACTTCTACTACTACTCCTATCAAAATGACCATCCAATCTCAAACCAAAGACCCCCTCACCCTCCCACCCCCCTTCAGCACCATCCCCCGCCACCAACTAACCTTCGGCCCATCCCCGATCCACGCCCTCCCACTAATCACCTCCGCCCTCTCCCCCCCATCATCCACCCCCAGGACAACCATCTACGCCAAACGCGACGACCTCTCCTCCCCCCTCGCCTCCGGCGGCGGGAACAAAACCCGCAAACTCGAATACCTCATCCCCGACGCCCTATCCCAAAACTCCACAACCCTAATCTCCATCGGCGGGATCCAATCCAACCACACCCGCCAAGTCGCCGCGGCCGCCACCGTGACAGGTCTAAAATGCCGAGTAATCCAAGAAGACTGGGTGCCCTGGAGTGATCCCCACTACAGCAAAGTGGGCAACATCCAGCTATCACGGCTCATGGGCGCAGACGTACGGCTTGACCCGTCTGGATTCGGGATCGAGCATAAGAGTACATTGAAGAAGTTGGAGGAGGAGTGTATCGCGAACGGGGAGAAACCTTATTACATCCCTGCGGGGGCGTCGGATCATCCGTTGGGGGGGTTGGGGTTCGCGCGGTGGGCGTTTGAGGTGCGGGCGCAGGAGAAGGAACTCGGGGTGGAGTTTGGGACGGTGGTGGTTTGTGCGGTGACGGGGAGTACGATGGCGGGGATGGTGGCGGGGTTTAAGTTGTTGGAGAGGGTGGATCGGGAGAGTGGCAGTGGGAGGGGGAGGACGAGGATAGTGGGGATTGATGCGAGTGCGAAGCCGAAGGAGACGAGGGAGCAGGTGTTGAGAATTGCGAAGGAGACGGCGGAGAGGATTGGATTGGGGAGGGAGGGGGTGAGCGAGGAGGATGTCGAGTTGTGGGAGGAGTGGCATGGGGGTGTTTATGGCGTGCCGGATAAGAGGACGTGGGAGGCGATTGAGTTTGCGGCGAAGACGGAGGCGTTTATTACGGATCCGGTGTATGAGGGGAAGAGTTTTGCGGGGATGATGGATTTGGTGAAGAGGGGGGAGATTCAGGGGAATATCCTGTTTGCGCATTTGGGGGGGCAGTTGGCGTTGAATGCGTATTCGGATTTGGGGAAGACGCAGTAGATATCTAGCTGTTTACAAGGTGTGATATACGAGTGGTATACGGATGACAGTGATAACAAGTATGAGAAGGATAGTACGAATGGTACTTATTGATATTCAAAGAGTGACTGTAGTTGGCTAACAATGGTAAAGGTGGTCAACGCCTAGCACAACGGCTAAGCATGTACTAGGGTGGCGTCTAGAACAGCTTGTGCTCCAGAGTCATCTCCGATTCAGGCTGCAGTCCAACACACGCCCGGAAGATGTTGGTCAGGGCACTGCGCTGCTTCGTCAGCGAGTTGACCACCGGAGTACCGGGAGGAGTCAGAGGAGCCTTGAGCATGTAGCTCAGCACGCTGAGCACGCTGTGGAAGCCCTTGTACTCGGCCGCCTCGTCCGCCTTCCAGCTGATGCGAGTCATCATCTCGGCAATCAGCACCAGGTCAATGATCAAGGGCGACGCCAGCAGAGAGTCCTCGCAGATGTTGAACAGACTGATGGTCTGGTGGCCACCCATGAAGATCTCCGCGTAGTACTCGTCGAGCGCGCGCTTGTTGTCGCCCACCGCAGGCATGTACTTGATCACCACGGTGTGGTCGGGGTGCTCGTCCTTGGCGTAGAGGATCTGGTTGGCCGCGACCATGTCGTCCACCACGTTGGACTTGGAGATCTCCTTGGACCGGAACTGCTTCTGGGAGCTCAAGTTCTTGCCGTCGTTGTTACCCAAGTGGTTGTAGCTGGCAATCGAGGTGAGCTTGATACCAGCGTTGATCAAGAAGTCAACCAGAGCCGACTTCATCTTGGTCTGGCCCGACTTGAAGTCGTCTCCGCCAATGAAGGCCTTGTGCTGCTCAGCCAACTGGATCGCACCAGGGACGAAGGTGTTCTGGGGAGAGCCGTTGATGAAGGGAACTTTGTCCAGGATACAGGCCACCGCAAAGACAGTGGACGGGGACACCTCCAAGTGGCTGGTCTTGATAGCGTTGAGCAGGTTGTCGGCCGTGTCATTGACGCCAGGCAGGATGTCGGCGTAACGCTCGGTGTTGGCAGTCCACATCACGATGACCTTGTCGAGGCCGTTCTGCGCCTTGAAGTCGCTGTTTCGGTTAGTGAGGAAGCAACAATTACACCACAGCAAACTCACCGAATGTCCTGCTGGATCTTCTCAACGTGAGCCCAGCATGCCTTGGAGCCCTCGAGCACATTGTCGGCCCGGTCCTCCTGGTTGGCAGCGATAAAGTCCGGGTAGTAGATACTAGGCAGGGGCTTCATCTCGGCCATCTCCTTACGAACCTGCTGCTTGAGAGTAGGCTCCAGAACCTGAGCACGGTCCATGGAATCGGCAAGGTTCATGCTGCTAATGTCCCAACCACCAATCGCGAGATCATTGGGGTGGACCATGGGCAGCATGTCGTGGAAAGGAATGTTGATCTCCTCACCGGTCTTGGCGTCAGTACCGAGCTTGATGGTGGAACCCATGACCACAGAGCCGTAGTAGTTGGAGGCGCGCATGCCCTCGCGGGTCTCCCATTCAAGACCCCGGCGGTTGGCAAGAAGACCTGCGGTCACGGTGGAACCATTGTTACCACCCCAGCCGACCATCATGACGCCCACCTTGCCCACCTTGCGGTCGACCTTGAAGTGGTAGTTGGTGGCCTTGGGAGTGGCAACGAGCTTGTTGTCGGCAGTGCGGGTGATATCAGTGGTATGGTAAGCATACTGGCTTCTGATTTCATTGTCGGTGTACACGACGTTGGGCGAGTTGACGGTAAACAAAGGAGCGTTGGCACGAGCGGACCCGTTCACGGCGCCATTGGCAGCAACATCCGAGCTTGCGTGGGGAGCCATTGTTCACAGTTGACGATTGGCGTGCGAGATAGATAATACGAGTGTTCAAACTGCGAGTTGTTTACTGGACGTATAATGCGTAGTCCGGTGCCCCACCACGGTTGGATGAGCGCCGGCCGTTGAACGGGTGGTGCCGCCTGAAGAAAAGTAGACAGATTAGCCATGAGAGGTCCCTGGAAGGTGGTGTTTCTTGAGGGAAGGTCCAATTGCTGTTCTTGGAGCATTGGGGGTATTGGGATAGGGGCAGCCATCACCGGGAGATCGCGGAGAATGGTGGGGAACTTACGAGTTAAGAAGTGTGGCGAAAATTTTGACGGTTTTTATCAGACCACGCCTCAGAGAGTGTGATCGAAGATTGAACTGAACGACTTGAAGACGATTGCTAACGAACTGAAGGTTTTGATGGGTGGTAGAAGGAGGAAGGGTCGAGGGAAGCGAGGAGGGAACGGTACTTATACGGCGGGTCACGTTGCTGACCGTATCCGGATCCAAACTGCTCCGCACCCCCAACCAGCTCAACAGTGCACTAGCCCGCCTTCCTGGCAAATGACAGGCTTCAGGGACTGTCTAGCGAGATGTTGACTTCCGAGTGCCGGCGTAAAAGCGTAAAAGGTCAACCACAACCAGCGCATCCCACAAATGACAATTGCGGTGAGCAGATCGTGTCCATGTCTGTGTCCATGTCTCCCGGGCACTCATGAGTTTGACTGGTGAATGAGAGGCTAGAAATTGCGACAGAGTGAATGTGGCTTACGGACCGTGACTTTTCAATACATTGAATCTATTCCTTCCGGCTCAAAATGGCCATTCCGCCATACAAATCTGCTATAATCTGGCAGTATCTCGATAACCCCCCGCTCTGCCGTTCCCGGCATTGGCCTGCCGCTAGCCCATGAACGGCGAGATAGGATTGTGGGTGCCATGATTCCCAGGAGAGAGCAAGCAGCGGTGTCCCATCTTTGGGACAAAGACAGACTTGAACTCAAGGACAGGCAATGGACTCCCCAGGCTGGGGACGGAATGTGGCCTGGGCTCCATCCATCATCGATAGTGGGTCGTTTAGGCAGTGGGAGTCGCGGGGCTCCGCCCGCGAATCGCGATAATGGCAGTTTATTGCCGACGCTGACACCAGAATAGAGCTGAGATTGGTGGGAGTTCATAATACAGAATGTATGCCAAAATTTGCTTCATTGGTGAGGAGTAGTCACAAATTGTACTTCGTCAGTACAAGTTGGAATTGCTGCTGGCACGAAGCTCGACAAGAAGCTCTCTCGTGATGTGCGGGCAGGGGAGCAGCGGAGAGCTCGGCAGACGAGCCGTGGTAGAATCACGACCCCTGGACTATCCATCGGTAATGCGTGCATAACGACCCAACAGGACTGCTGCCTGGATTGTGAAAGGGGGACTAGCTAATAGCTATACGTGCTCGTCTCCACCGTGTGCTGTGTGTGTGGTGTTCCAATGACTGTGTGTAATTTAGTAGGGTTCAAGCTAAGCACACCAATCACAATGTTCTCCTGCAACGCTGCCATTTACACAATCATGTGATAGCGCCCGCTGCAAGGTCCTCAGGCAACACGGCACCGATAGGATAGGAATGTAGCCTCAGGCTGACCATCGGCCGTGGGATTGGCGGAGGGCGGGAAACATTCGGGCTGAGATTCGGCTAGACCTTCGGCAAGCAAAACTAACCGACTCAGACGCCATGGGCTGACGACGAGCGACTGCGACTCAGTGTCAGACAGTGAGAGATCCGCTTGACGCGCAGAATGTATAGTCAGACCATGTTAGATCCATCATCCAGGAGCAGTTCCATTGAAAGGTTTTGCGTTTAGAATATAGTGCTGTGTACGGAGTAGAGCTTGCGCGGAGCATTGCACCAGTACTCCGTACACACTACGGAGTACACAGTCCTACTACTAGAGGGATATTGTCCGCCAATCGGACTCAAAACAGCGGCCGTGCATATCCCGTAGGCAGGTACCCATGGGCTGTCGTCAGCCAGATCATGAGATCGATCCTCCACTACGCACAAAGCATGCCATCGTTGTTCACAATCCTTAGGTATCCTACTCAATCTTGAGAGCACTGCGCGTCGCCGACTGCCGGGTACTATTGGGGCTGAACCATGGTACGGAGGTCACCGGTTCCTGGACTCTACACAGCTAAGAATCAGCTGGAAGGTTTCGATCTGCATCACCCGGACAATGGTCCACCAAGATGCGTGAGGACAGCCGAGCAGTTACGACGACGCCCTTGGGACCGGCCGTCTGTTCTCGAAATTCGGACAGTTTCTAAACATATATCTGCCAGTTGTGACAGGCCATCGGTTTCCCAGATCGTCGGGTCCAACCAAGGAATGACAGCGTATATACACTCTGTTAAACTGGGCCCCTTGCTTCCTGCTTAAGCTTCCGGAATATACTTTGGAGTTGGAGATGGGGTAGATGCAAATCACATCTGCTTGCGGGGGTTCCTGGTTGGGGTGATAGTCCATCCTCATCTTGAGCGTTAAGATTGGGATAACAGCATGAGATGTCACCTCTGGGGGCCTGTGCTGGGTCGCCTCGAAGGTAAAGGACTATCGATGATGCTAGAAACGGAAGAAGAAGCACAGCACTCCATATAGGGGGAAGTAATAGGGGAAGTTAATTGGTGTAGACCTCCAACCGATAGACGAGGCTCGTGCGTTCCAATTTGGAGGCCTGCAAGTCCAGTCACAGAAGGATACACCTCCGTCCTGGAGGTGACAGACGGACAACACCATGAAAAAAACATATTGAGCTAGACTAGTTGCCATTCCACTTGCCAAGTTAGACTGGGGGAGGACGGGAGAATCGTTGTTAGTCACGGGGGGCGGGTTGCCCCTGAAGGATGATCTGCGGTGGATGATGGTTCAGGGGCTAAAATGCCTGGGAGGCAACACTATCGTCTGGAAGGTCAAGAAATCGGCCATTGTCGCAAACTGATTGGGGATGTGGGAAAGGGGTAGATAAAAATAAATGAGAGTCAAACCGATATTGAGTGTGAACACGAAAATTAAGAGGCTTGACCGGGAGGTTCGGAGCGAAAGTAGGGTAGAAAGGAGAGTAAAGTATGGGATGCGACCGGAGTAACTCTCGGTCAGTTGAGTGTACACACCGTAGATGTCCAGCCATAGGAATCATCCGTCGATAGTCATGGAATAATTATCCTGAAGACACATAATCGGAAAGCAAATCAGCCTCACTACAGGTTTCTTCTGTGAGTAAGAATTCATGCCAATCGCTGACCTGACACCAAAGAAGAATGTGTTCCGACCCGCGGCGAGCTGCAGCCAGAGAGCTTCTAGTCTAGTCTAGTCTACTTAGTAGTTGTTTGTCAAGGAGAGAGACATGGAAGTGGTGCTAAAGCAACAACGCGTGTTGGCTGGACGGGCACAGGGCCAATCAGGGGGAAACATTGCGGGAAGGGTTCGTGGATCGCCCCAAACTTCCAACTTTCTCACTGCGAACACACGAGGAAGTTCTCTACAGTCCCACCCAACTAGAATCGGTCTTTTCTGCATCCCAGACGGGCTAACTATCCACCCACTGGACACACCCACACTACACTACACTGGCAACCAAGCTAGTCTAGTCTAGTCTAGTTGTTTAGTGTTTCTTTCCCCCCCCCAGCCAAGAGTTTACTACTACTATTAGTATTAGTATTTTGGATGGGCCCTTCCCACTCCCCCCCCCCAGTCAACAATGGTTGGTGCTTGTGCTTTCTCCCTTCACTCTTTTCAGTTCCGACATCCATGCGTCTCTAACCCAACTCCTTCTGGCTCCATCCAGATCGTCCTGTCGCGTCGTGTCGTACCCTTGACATCTGGGGATGAAATTGTTCCCCTCATGCGAGGAGTCCTGCACTGCATAGATTCACACGACCCTTAAAGCACGCGCCCGGTGTGGCCTGGACGAGCCACTTTCCACCCCTTCCCCTCACACACAACCCCCCTCCACCCGCTCATTCCAATGAACCAGTGACTGGTGGATATCTCTTCGCTATTGTAGACTGTCGCCGTTGCCCAGCATGGCATCCATCATGGAGGGGGGCCTACTGCCCATGATTAAATGCTCCAATTGTGGAATGAGCGTGGAAATCTCCTCCATGGGCGATCATGTGTGCGTTAAACCAATGCCAGGTGAATATTTTCCCCAATCGTTCTCGACTTCAGCTATGCTGTCCACCGTTGGAATGCAATGTGTTGACCGGTCCCTTGCAGCGACTCCTTCGCCCTCTCAATCCCCTCCGCCGCCCCCGCCCAAATCAGACAATGTGTTACCCTCCAGAACTCCCAGCGATGCCTGGGCCTCCAAGTCTGGAAGGTCCGGCCCTCCGCCTCGCATTGACCCTGCAATGGCCAGTATGTTTATTTGGATACCACGCGAGCCTGCGCCATCCATATATTAGAGTTATGCGTCTCATGCAGTTAACACCGGCCTTCCAGATCGTCCCTTCCTGAACCCCGCAAGCCCAATCGCCAACCACGACCCGTTGGTCCCCTCCCCTCTTTCAACGTCTTCAGGTCAGCGATCGCCGTTCAGAGCGCTCCAGCGCAGCCAGACCTCTCCGTTGCCCGACGAACCGCAATCCCCGGATTCGATTAACCTGGAAACCGCCTTTGCGACTTTCCCTTTACCCCGTTCCATGTCGGACAGACGCCCGGGTGGTATGTCAAACGCAAAGGATCTCAGGTCAGCACCACCAATGCCATCGGCTCGATTGGCACCTGCATTGGACAGAAATGCGCTGGATGACGATATGCCCCCGCCACCGCTCCCGAAAGATGACCCTCCGGCGACGGCCATGGGCGTTGGGCATAGACATGGCGCTTCGATAGACAGCAAAAGCAGCTACCGGACATCGCTGGCAAGCACACGGTATGGAGACAATAGGAATTCCAAGCGGTCGACTGCCATGTCGAGCCGCCGGCCTTCATTTGGAAGCGTCGCGCGCGATCCGTACAAGTTCGTGGATGATGCCCCCCCGGTTCCGTCTGCTGCACCGCAACAACTCCTGCGCCCCTCCAGGATTTCGGACACCTCGGTAGCCGGAGTCGCAGACAAGCGTGAAGGCAGGGGTGAAATATACAGTGGCTTCGATTTTGGAGTGTCGGAACGGCCGACGAGCGCCAAGGCTGAGATTGACCATGTCAATGCGAGCGCACTCCGAGTCTCCTCGCATACCAACAGCAACTCCGATCGTCTGAGCAGCAACCGCGGCTCAGCAGAGTTGTTCTTCCAAAGCCCGTCCCAGAGTTCCTATGGACCACCGCTCGACTTTGAGCTACCCAACGAGCCGCTGGCTTCACCCGCGACCCCGGCCAACGGGGAGTACAAGGCCTTCAAGCCACAAAGCTCTGAATTTCTCCAACCAGCAGACGCTGAATCTGGTCGCACCCACGAGCGGGATATTAACCAGAGGAAGGATTCTGATTCCGCCAGTGAGGGAAACAACTCCGTCTCCAACTTCGCACGAGCATTGGGACTAGAGGTCGACCACACCGCGAATGATTCAATCACCTCGTCGGATTCCTCGCCGTCCGACACCACCCGGAGTGGAACGTCTCTATCTAGCCTGCCATCGGAAGCCAGTATGTCCCGACGGAAACCGTCAGACCAGGGTCGTCTGGGCGCTGTTGTGGAGGAGGAGAAGAAGTCTCAGCAGCCTGTGCTGGACGAACCGGTCCTCGAAAGTCCGACCGAGCTCGAGCCCCCTCGCATTCCAGAGGCCTTATTCAGCCCGGACTCGCCAACTGACCCTGCCATTAGTCAGGGCAGCCTGTCGCTTGTTTCGGAAAAGAAACCCCGACGTCCTGAAGAGGAGAGCCCACCGCGGCAAGAGGTGGTGCGTTCTGCGACGGCACCGCAGCCGCGACCCTCCCCTCGGCCCAAGGGACCCTGCCGTGGTTGTGGTGAAATGATTATGGGCAAGTCCGTGTCATCGGCCGATGGCCGTCTGACGGGTCGATACCACCGCGCCTGTTTCGTGTGCTTCCAGTGCCGGACGCCGTTCCAGACGGCCGACTTTTACGTCCTGGAGGACCGTCCCTATTGTGCCCAGCACTATCATGAACGCAACGGCTCTCTTTGCCAAACCTGCAATACTGGCATTGAGGGTCAGTACCTTGAGACGGTGGAACGCCGTGGTCGTGGGCCCGCGGATCGCCAGAAGTTCCACCCGGACTGCCTGAAATGCCGCACCTGCCAGATTCCCCTCAAGGGGGATTACTTTGAATGGTATGGCCAGGTTTACTGCGAACGTGACGCCCGACGGGCGGCAGCTGCTACGCCACCACCTCCTCGTCCTCGCCGTCCAACCATGCCCTCGTCTCCGTTAGCCCCGTCCGGCCGTGGATATCCCCCACCGCCTCCAGGGTACATGGGCCCTCCTGGCCCCGGTCCTGGCTTTGGACCGCCTCGTGGACGGGGTCGTGGTCTGCGACCCCCCGGCCCAGTCGATGGGCCATATGCAGCGGCGGGACCCCTTCCTCCCGCGCGACGTTTCCCGGAGCGCCGGACTACCAGGTTGATGATGATATGATATCCCTAATGGCTGTTCTGATGGGCGTTACGCTGCGGACAGCTTTCTTTTCTCTTATTTTGCCAATGCTTTCCAAGTTTTCGGGCACATATTTTTTGCCCTTCACATTTCCTTGCCATGACCTAGACCTTTCGCCATATACCCTTCTTTTGCATCTCCAGAAATTGGTTCCTCATCGTTAATTCTTTCTCCCCTGGCTGGCGAGGTTTGAACTGGGGTCGTTTCTCTTCTTATCTGTTGGTGGTCACCAACAAGTCATGTTTACACTGCATAATGTCTGGTGTCATCTTGGTGTTTCCAAGCTGGTTATTCTACTTGGTTGGGTGGCTGGATATCCTCTTGACGGCATGTTAGAGCGTTAATGTATGAATTGATTAATTTCACATTAGCAACGTTATTGTGCAGTATGTAAAGGTCACTGTAGATTCTCCAAACTAGAAAATTCGTGTGGTGTACTGCCTGAGGCTGTCGGATGGACCACCTGACTGGGAAATATATATGTGCCGCAGATTCGAGTATTTCCACGACTACCACATTCAGTCCCCTTCCACCGAAGTGTCCATAACTCCGACTGTGGATTTCGCATTATGTCATCGATTTATCATGTTTCATGCGCACAGTCAGATGGAAATGACTCGCATGGAGATTCGGTAAGACCATAATGCTTGCATAACCCTTCTTCGTTACTTTATGGGCGGGATTCGGTTTGCTACCAGCTCTGGTGTTTGGTGTCCATTGAACCAATTTGAGTCGAATCTGGGGTAGCACATAACGAAGCTTCTTTCCTTGACATCAAACGTACTCAGTCTTGTCCGTAATGAATTTCGACAAAGACAATCCAACTCTGCTAATTCAGCCGGCTCGCAAGAGCTGCAAAGATAATTAGTACAGAGTCTCAGTGGACAACAACAGATGATACAAGGGTTGGCTCACCGTTCTGAAAATATGCATCTTCTTCGTGGCCGATACACCAGGCCGTCCTTGCTTCGTGTTCTCTTCCGTCTGCTGTCCGCTACAAATCGTACGATTGAGACTAGGTGAACTGGTGGGAATGTTGTCTGATATCCTTGGTACTGTCTTCTTCGGTGGAAGATTCAGCGGAAAGTGCGGCATTTCCATAACGAGTGGGATATCAGGGGATTGTTCTCCGCCCTCCTGAACTTCCATAGTTATGGGGTTGGGATGTCCCGCATACCCAGGGGTCGCTGGTCCTGTGAGTGGCACTGCAGTTCGGGCGATGTATTGGCTTTCCGGAGACTGGGTTTGGGGTACTCGACTTGGACGACGCTCTCTAGCGGCGCTCTCGATCTGCCTCAACTTTGTGTGCGTGAAAGTCTCCCTGTTCATCATGGCTGTCGAGCGGGCCATGTGATATGCACCCAGGGTTTGATTGATGTCCCCTGCCAAGGCCTTGTATAGGCGCATTATGTCTTGAGCCTTTGTTTCTGCCTGCACGGCCGATATCCACAGAATTTGGTGGTGGTTCTGAAGGCCGGGATCACGCTCGAAAGCTTCGTGTATTTGATCTCGTGTCGATGTCATCTCCTTGAGGGCCTTGCTCATATACTCATATAGTGTCTCGGCCATGTCTCTGCACTCGAGAGCGTATACTTGGGACTTGATCATGGGCATACCAGCAGTCTTTGCCTTTAACACGGAGTCGATAGTCTGCCATGACTTGACCGTTTTGTCTTGGAGATGGTTGACCTGGATGATGGCATCTTCGACCAACCCTAGTGTGGAATTCTGATGCGAGCCAGCGCGCGTTGTTCCTAGCGTTGGGATAGCGGTGGGGACATGCACGCCGCCACGCGGGGTTTCTGGCACTTGCTGTTCAGGCACTTCCCTTTGCGGCTGTTTTCCCTTGGAAAGGTCGCTTTGGGATTCGCATGGGTGGTCTTCATGACGAGCGACCTTCTCGTGATGCTTTCCTTTCCACAAAGTCAGGATTGACCGGCGTCTCTGGGTCTCTCCTTCCCTTTCTTGCCGGGATGCTGGTATGACTTCTATCCCGTTCATCTCTGTGTGTTGGTCCAGCTCAGACTGGAGAGAATCTTCTTCCGAGGTGGTGTCTGTGCGTGCTCTAGCTTTGTGGTGGCCTTCTGTATCGACTTTTGTACTGGTGGAAACATCGGATGATCAGCAAGTGGATGGAGCATTAGCTGGAGAAGGAAGATCGGTGGCACCGATCGAGCAACGAATAAGTTGAAGAAGGCGATGACGTTGGGAGTCTGTGGCTTGTCCAGGCTGCCACCTCATGCTTGGGTGTACCTCGGAAGAACAACCTGAACCATGGTCAATGGGAAGGGAGTTCCTGTTTGATGGATCAGTCCATTGCTGCTACGTCAATGTTCGTCATTCCCCAGCTCTAAAAAGGTTGTTCGTGCGGGCAGCTTCACAAGCTTGTCTGGAACTATAATGCGGACCAACCACAATGCATGACTCGTGTTACTACTGTACCAAGCTCACCGGTAACACAAGGGGTAAGAAGACCCTTCTTACTGAAGTTGTAGACATGCACAACATACTCATCAATCTCGGTCTATCCTTCCTCCGAACAAACCAGATCATGCCAGCGCATCTTGCATATCGGCAGCCAGCCACAAGCGGCGGGGGATCTGCAGCATTCCTCACGGAGTCAACAACACTTATACCCCTCCTCCTCCGTCCAGCTCTCTCTCTCTCCTCAAATTCCTCTCCCACTCTATCAAATACCCATCTCAATAAAACTACCCACCATGGCTGTCCCGTCCGGTCTCCCCAACTACACTCGCCACATAACCAGCCACAACTCCTCCGGCGAGGCCATAATCCACACCTCCACACCAGGCGACTGGACCAGCATCGGGGAGGACCGATTCGGCTTCAGCGTCGCCTACACCACCTCATCATTCCCACCCGACCTCAACAATGACGCCGACATTTCCACCCACTCAGCCAAAATGGAATCCAAGAACCTCGGGCTCGTCAGCCCCAACGGCACCGTCTGTCGCGTGGTGGACTTCGCACCCAACACAGACCCATTCATGCACCGCACGCGGAGTCTAGACTACGGAGTTGTCCTGGAGGGCGAGATCATCATGGAGTTGGACTCGGGGGAGAAAGTGTTGATGAAGAAGGGCGACATAGCCGTGCAGCGGGGGACGATGCACGGATGGCGCAATCCGAGCAAGGAGAACTGGACGAGAATGCTGTTCGTGCTGCAGGACTGCAAGCCCATCTCTGCGGAGGATGGTAAACAGTTGGGTGAGGATCTGGGAAAGTCGTCGGATCTGCCTCCTTCTGATGGAGCTAATGCATAACTCCAATAACTATCAATACACTAAGACTCTATAACTACACAAACCGACAATGATGACATATCAAGGAACCCGAATAACAACCTTCCCAAAATGCCCCCCACTCTCCAAGAACCTAAACGCCTGATCAGCCTCCTCAAACCCAAACACCTTCGAAACCACCGGCTTAATGCCCTTCTCCTCATAGAAAGCCACCATCTCCTCAAACCGATCTCTCGGCCCATTAATAATCCCCTGCAGCGTAACCGTCCGTCTCAGCGCCAGCAAATTAACATTAATCCGATCCTCGGGATCATCCACCTTGCCGGACAAATACCCAATGCAGTTAATCAATCCCCCGAAAGCAATACACTCGAAACTCTTCCTCAGCGTCCTCGCACCCCCAGTCTCAAGAATCACATCCACCCCCTTCCCCTTCGTAATCCGCAGCACCTCCTGATCCCAGTCCGGCGTAGACCGATAGTTGATAGTGTAGTCTGCACCCAGCGCCTTCGCTTTCTCTAGCTTTTCATCCGACGACGACGTGATAATCACTACACACACAAAATCTCATTAGCATGCACACCCAACCCCACCCCCAAAAGGTAGAGAACATACCAATAGCCCCCAACCCCTTCGCAATCTGCAACCCCGCGACCGCGACCCCCCCAGTCCCCTGCAACAGCACCACGACCTCCCCACCCTCGCCCGAGCCCCGTCCACTCCTCAACTTGATCCTCTCCTCCAAACTCATCCAAGCCGTAACACTCGCAATGGGCAACGTACTTGCCTCCACATCCCCCAGATGGCTAGGCGCCTTCACAAGCCCATGTTCGGGAAACACCCTGTGTGTCGCCAACACCCCCGGCTGGGGATGTCCCAGCCCATTCGCCAGTTCCTTGTCGGTGACTTGACCGGTGATGTGATCGGGTAGGAAAGTCGAGAGCACGCGATCACCGGGCTGGAAGCGGGTCACGTTGGGGCCGATGCGTGTGATGGTGCCGCACATGTCGGAGCAGGGGACTTTGTGCTCGGGGGTGGAGGTCGAGGTGGATTTGTGGTGGGTGTATTCGCCTTTTGTTACTATTATTTCATGGGGGTTAGTGGGTGGTAGATGGAGGGTGAGGAGGGTAAAGGGGAGGGGGGATTACCTTCGACATCGCGATAGTTGAGAGATACAGCGTGGATCTCAACGAGGACTTCGTGATCTCCTGGGGCTGGGATGGGGATGTTGGTGGTGGATTTGGTGAGCGAGGAGAGGCCCGTTAGGGGGGTGGTCCATTGTGTGAGGGACATGTTGTCTCTTTCTTCTCTTTTTAGTTTGGTTGTAGGTGTAGTTGTAGTAGGGGATGTTATAGTATATCGAATAAGTGGAATAGCAATTGGGAGAATGTGAAGGATGAGGGGAAGATAAAAAGGGAGGAAAAAAGAAGGGGAAAAATTGGAGTAATTGTGTTGATGTCACGATGACCCACTGCGGGGAGGGGGGAAATTTGGGACAATTGATTATCAATCAACAATGAACAACAATAGTGGATGCGGAATTCTTCACGGAAAGGGTTTGCCGAATTGATGGAGTGAGGGAAGAAGAGTGGAGACATTAATTGTGGTTGTGGTTGTGGTTTCCGACTGGGTTGGGGAGTTGGGGATCGTGGTCTACGGGTTAGTTTCTTTTGAGTGAGTGATCTTAGGATAATTAGCTTTTTGTCCTTATTGGCGTAATTAAGGCAGATATTAGTACAACGCTGTCTGTCTATACAACGCTAGGTAAAGTTATATAGGTTCTTAGAGCAAATATGTGGAAACAAAGAATGTTTGAAATCTGACCAGACATGGTCGTCAGCCACCCTATCTAATAAACACCATAGTAGTGATATTGCTAACAGTTTTATGCCCTATGTCTTATATCTTACATAGCTATAATAAACTGTAATGCAGTACCAAATAATTTGACAGAATATTAACAATCTCATGAGCTTCCAGGATGTCATTAGTATCACCCTATGGCCTATCTTGGTGATGGAAGCTGCGGGAGAAAGGATCAAGTGTCGATGAAGTCATCAGGTCATTGAACCTGCCTATCATGGTATTTAGTAACCTACATTATGTTGAATTTGGTTCTTTACTACTTCTGATCCTTATGAGCCAGCCTCATATATAGATATAAGCTATTAAAGTTTATCAATTAGCATCCTACTAGCTTCATATATGGTTCGGCATTTGCAAGTTATCTAACAAATGATCCTACCACAATAAATGCTTTAGATTTCTAGCTGATTCTTAGCAGGTGAACCTGTATCTGTCTGGCTTAATTATAAGCTTTTTGTAGGTAATCGTACAACTTTTGGGCCCCCACACCTCGTAAAGCCTCGCTCGTCTACCATGTCTACACATATTTGTTAAATATACTCTACGAATACCCTGCTCCTCTACAATAATCTAGCTTTCCTTGATGGGATCCTATTAAATCAATGAAATACTGGAGTTTAGTTCCTAGCAGTCGAAATTGTCGTGAACAAAGTCGCAGAAAAAGCGATCAGCAGTGCGAGCCCACGCCTGCATCTTTCTCCCACCATTCCATTCCATTTCTTTCATTTCCATGTTCCAGCTTTCAAAAGACGAACTTTTATTGTTAAAACAAATTGACTATGAGTACTAAACCGAACAATAAACTTAAATCACCACATACGAAATGCCCGCGCCATTTAGCGTGCTGTCTCCACCTGCTTCAATCTTCCAATCGAACCCATCTTTCGTGACGTTCTCTGTTTGAGTATTAAGCCTCAAATCATGTTTGCAACTAACATTGAATGACTTGATAGCCGTATACACTCTATGCTTCCTGTCGAATAATCCTTTTGGAAAGTCCACTCTTCCCCCTTTACTCTGACCGGAGGACGTTGAATTTTGGTGAATACTGGAATCCACCGCCCCGCTAAATATGCCCTCTTTGTCCGCGGGATATGCAATCCATGATGCGGAGGCGCTATACAGAATGCTGTCTCCCCATGTGTCAATATGGATATCGAATCCTTCACTGGATATATTCGATGCATGAACTGCAATTCTCCAGTCCTTTCGCTTATCCATATCGAAACCTTGAAGCCAAACCACAACTTTAGGAGGCTTATCAAAGGACCGTTCAAAAACCACACGTTTTCTATTTTGTGGCTTGGCCTCATTCCACGGATGAAGCTCCAGTGTGTCGAAACTACCAGTCTGGAATTCGGTGTCGGTGCTGGAAACTTCAAACCAGGCGGCCCCGGCGGAGAAAAGAATAGTATCAGCCCATGAATCAGCGTGGACAACGAATCCACTTTTTGTGATGCGATCCGCGTATGCTTTTACTCGCACGTTGAAGTCTTTGCTTAGATTCAGCTCAGTCAGACCAACGGCAATGCTTGGAGCTTCCTTGTACTCAGGCTCAAAATTGACATTTACTGCGTTTAAGCGTTTTGGTTTCGACGGGGGACGGAACTCCTGGGTTGTAAATCGAGCCTGGCTATGCGCTTGTTCTGGATACAATGAGTGAATGAACATTTTATCTGTGGCGGATAGTACAGTGTTGTTAGGAGTTTCATAGTCTCCAAGCGTTAGGTCGTTCGAGATACGATAAAGCATGATGGAAAGTGGATCAAATTTGGTGTAATAGGCCTCTGAAGGCGCATATTGACGGAAAAGATTCTGGTCAACTTGTTCCTTGGACCAGGAATTCGGGGGTCCCATGAAATATCTGTAGACCTTCTTTTTGTCCCACGGGATGGATGCTGAAGGGCTCATATGCTCGTGAATGCATCCTAGAGCGTGACCAAACTCATGAATGGTTGTCCTGCTGAATTCATCATCGCGAGTATTATCGTCAAACCATCCAAAGTTCATTGTTGCCTGGTCAGATGGAATATCGAGATTTTGTACTCCGAGATAGGACCATGAGCCTCCACCCTCAACAAAGCTGACCCTAATTTGTGCCTTTGGCGAGTCATCGAACACAAAGTCAATATTGGCGTGGTGCTCCCATGTCTGAGCATAATATTTAACTTTGTTTTTCACATGCTCGCTGCCAGAAAGGAATCTGACATGAAGCTTGGTTCCCGGTCGCCAGTAGGCATTTTTGGGCATTGCAAGCTCTGCTGGGCCGGATCCTAAGCTAGGCGACACCAGATTACCAGGAGGGAGCTTCAGCTTCTTTGAGCTGGGTATACGCTCGACACAGATTCTGGTGCTTTCCATAGCCGCTGCTTAGAATCTATATGGGATAAAAAGTGTTGGTAATATATAAAGTATGTCCTTGTAGTAATATCTTACCCGGACGATGTTGAATTAGAAATGTCTATGGCTATAGACCTCGTTCCATAGCTCGGATTACTCGCAGCATATATAGTTGTAGAAGACAATCATGCCTATACAACCCTGATTTATAATGAGACTGTTCTAGATACTCTCTCCAACACTTATCCTTGGATGACAAGTGTCTACACGAACATCTATCAGCCGCTAAGTGGGGAAAGTCAATGTACTGCAGACAACTTCGTTGAAGCTCGAGTGGTAGCGCCAGATCACAGCCAGAGGGGACCGATTTGGTGGACCAAGCGAGACCCAGTGGTTATTGTTGTATGCTTAAACTTTAATAACGCTTAGATGTCTCCACACATCAATCCTTCCCCGGCAAGGGATCCAACCTTGGAACTGTTGCGAGGAGTTACTGCAAACGGCCAAGGCTCGATCGCTCCACTCGCGGAGAACCAAAAAACTTGATCATGCGCCCACATAAGGATCCAGCCTTGAAACTACTGTTGCGAGAGCTTACCACCAAGGCCAGGGCTTGGTCGCCAAGAGCATGGAGAACTGAAGTATGTCGATATCGCAGCAAACTGTAATTGAAACTTTATATATAAGCCTCTAGAGCTGTTTATGAGAATACGAGTGGAGTAGAGTTTTAGGTCAAGTCAATCTCCAAAGTATGACCTGCTCCTGATATGGTGTGTTAGGCCAACAAAGGCTACTAGTCTGCACCGACAATCTAATTCGAAATCAATCTACATTATTAGATTACACGAGAATCAGCTATGGGGTGGGTCGCGTACTTAGATATCGTTCACATCATTTATAGTCAGTAGAATATTAGTTAATATTATACATTGATATTATCCTTTTGTCCGCAATATACAAAGATAGAGGTCGCAACTGTTCTTACTCACATGCTGAAACATGATACTTAGGTTACATCTATCTTTCCGTCCTCCATCTCACGCTTGCGCTTCTGAGAAGGATCACCTGGAGGCAGGACCAACCATCTCACCACCTGCTTTATCCCGATGACCAGGATTCTCCAACAGAGACGGTACAACGGACGTTCCCGAGTCGTATGGCGAAGATTGCCTCTGCGGCAGGGGTGAGGAACCAGTCTGCGGAATGAAGCGAAGAATAAGGTCACGGTAGAAGTTTCGCTCGTGGAGATAGTAGTCTCCTTCGGCGATGAGGAACTGGATCTGCTCAGCCTGCAGCTGCATTAGTTCCTGCAGTTGCTCGGGATCCCCGTGCGAGCGCAGTCTGGGCCGGTGGAGGAGTGCCTTTGCAGGTGATCCAACTTATTCCCCGATAAAGTGGGTTTCTGCGGCCTGCAGCTGGATACTCCCCTACAGAAGGTTGTTCTGTCGCACCAAGTGAGCGATGTGGTTGTGGCAGGCTTTTAGCCTGCCTTCATAGCTGTTCCTTGGCTTGTATAGCTCACTGGGAATTTGAGCTTTCTCGATACCCTCGTACCTTTTGACTGGGTCGCCAAGATTTCCACGCGGTAGGATATCGGTATGACTCCTGACTGGCAGGTAAGCAAATATGCTATGAAGACCAACTTGGTCTCCGATGTAACACATCATCCATCTCAGAGATGGAGGTCACATAATCAATAGCTAAGATTGACTCAGAGTGAACCCGTCCCCAACTTTCCTAAGCGATGATAGAGTTGGCTACGCCCAACAGGTCCCTAGCGTGTTTCAGAGTCTAAGCTGAAGTGAGATCATCTAGCTCCATGTCTAGTCTAGGGTGAAAGGTCTTCTAGGATTTTGTTCTATGACTGGAGTGGCATTGGGGGCTGTGTTCCCTAGTAAGCCAAGGAGTGATCTCGCTTAACTAGACACGTGAATCATTGTACCAGGATCATGGTGCCAACTAATATCTTTCGTAAGGCTCAAAGTAGCATCTTCACCATCTAAATTAATCAATATTATACTGCTTACTACATCTAGTGCTTACTATGGTATGTTGTTAAATATATTGCTTACTACATATTAGGTGAGACTTGTAGCATCACGTGACCGGTAATATTTCGATATCCATTTAGTATCTTACAAGCGTATCCCATTGTCTTCGTACAGTGTTTCATTAACCGCTAATAAGTTTCAGCCCCCGTAAGGCTTTCCGGATTACGAGGATGTTGTAGTAGATGGAGCAAAGCAAATGATATATATCCTATGATTGTTTGATGAATGTAGACCAAACTATATCTCATGATCCCAGGTTTTTTGTAATCTCAGGATACTCTCTATAGTGTTATCAGTTGGGCTGCATCAAAACATTATGACTTCCTTTCCACCCCCTCCTACCCAGTCCCTAGGTGAGTAGTCGCCCTCGCAGCCGCAAGTGTGTAATCTAACAAAGCGTGCAGAATGGGAAAAGCTTGGAATTGCACCTATGGATGGTCAGTATATGCCCTGAGACACGAGAACTGAGACACAAGAATATGTAATATGACTGACAGTTTCTTCGCTATGTAGTAAACGCTCATGTCGAGTGCGAGTATTCGGTGTTCACTGGTCATTGGTCCGAGCCCCGACTGGTTGAGGATCCTTTGCTGCGCATCCATGGTCTTGCCCCAGGGCTTAATTATGGTATGTATGTGCGTCGAAGCTTCCAGATTAATCGCTAACAATACCACAGGTCAACAAGCATTCGAGGGCATGAAAGGTATTGTTACATGAATTTCCCTCTACGGATGACTCCTGAAGAAATATGGAACTGACTCTAGTTCAGCCTATCGTGACCCTCAAGGCAAGATCAACGTCTTCCGCCCCAAGGACCATGCAGCTCGGTTGGCCTTGTCGTGTTCCGCTGTTGCTATACCCACCATTCCGGAGGAACTCTTCCTGCGTAGTGTCAATCTCGCCATTGCTGGGAATGCGGAGTATGTGCCTCCGCACGATACAGACGCTGCGCTCTACATTCGACCTCTGGTATTCGGATCCGATCCTTTCTTTGCCGTCTCCGCGGGGACTGGATATAAGTTCTGCATCTACGTCCAGCCCTACAGGGCATATCATGGAAGCCAGCCTATACCCGCCTTGATCCTGGAAGACTTGGATCGCGCTGCTCCTAAGGGTGTTGGTCATGTCAAGGTCGGCGGAAATTATGGGCCCGTCCTAAAATGGAGTGATCAGGCTCGTGCTGAGGGATACTTCATCACTCTACATCTCGACAGCCGGACAAATTCCGAGATTGACGAGTTCAGTACCTCCGGATTCATTGGATTGAAGAAAACCGGAGACTCCTTCACAGTGGTGGTGCCAAGTAGTCGCTCAATTCTGAAAAGTGTGACCAGCACCACATGCCTAGACTTGGCCAAATCCATGGGCTGGAATGTTGAGATTCGCCCGGTATGTCTTTCCTCAAGTTGGATACGCCCCTTGCTTTGCCTTGGCTTGGTGATTTACATAAACTAACCTCGAATGCAGATTCCGTATTCCGAGCTCCAATATTTCGATGAAGTCATCGCCGTCGGCACTGCGGCAATGCTGGTCTCCATCAAGTCAATCACCCGGAGGTCTACTGAAGAGACTTTTGCGTATAACACTGACGGTTCAAGTGATGGTTGCAAGCAGCTACAACAGGGTCTTCTCGACATTCAGAAAGGAAGAGTGAAGTCGAACGAGGACTGGCTATGGCAGATTTTGCCTATTGAGCAGGAAGCTGGTGATGAAAATGCATTGTAGATACCAAAGCGTGGCATTTGTCTATATATTTTATGAAGTTTCGTTACAATTATTATGAGTACAAACTTAACGCGCCAGACTATTCGTGGTCAATTGAAGGCCGATGTTAGGTTATATATATCCACTACTCACTGTAGGTTATGACGGGACATGAGGATATTTTTTGGTGAATCATGTACGCAATGACAGTAGTCTCTCAATTATTTCTTCATCTGTAGTCACCAAATCCTAAGGGTCATCCAACGAGAGTCGAACTAAGATGTTGTATGTCATAGCCCGTGCTGAGGCCCTAAAGTCCGTCCTCAGAGTTTGTGATGTGGGTGCCTGAGGCGTAAAAATTGAGATTCATAGCATGGTGTCCTTCCACATCTTTCAAGCACATATATAGCAGCACTAACAGTGCCAATGAACGGATCAGAGGCAGTTCACTTGTCAGGCGTTGACTCTATGCAGTCCTACCGATACGGGCAGGTTAATGGGACTTACGGGAAGCGGACGCGTTACTGCCACATTGGACATCCGCCCGTGCGAGAGGATCTGCCTGCAGAAGCCTTACGAGGTAAGCAAAAACAGATTGAACTCGTCATAGAAGGTTTCTAATAGAGTCATCCTTGGTTACTATTACGGTAGTCAGCGGTTAGTGTGGAATGGCATAATTGTGTGGCTTAGGAAACTATTCTGCATTACATAAATTCTAAACTTAGTTCATATTACAATACTTACATGTTCGGTTACATCTACGTGCTTACGGTATTTATTACTGTAATTCTGTGTAATTGGTTCGTTGCCCCGACCCCGCATCATCAAGTATTGATAAGATCGGCCATGAACTGCGCCATGGAAGCCTCTAGTTTCTCGCGTCAGCTTCCGCTGCAAATTGAGCAAAGTGCAGAGACTACCATGAACTCCACCATGGGTCCAAACGCGCCGCCAACGGCTGCGGCCACGAGGCAGAAAGCTGAGATGAGCTAGCCACTAGCGCCGCACATGGCAAACAAGTCAGGTGGGATGGTCAAGCCTCCCATGCTGACAGGAGGTCTTACTAGATAGTGCTCGGAACAGACTGGCTAGGGCTGAACTTCGTGTTGAAGGGGCGCTTTTCGAGAGGATCCGGGTTTCATGAAGCTAAGCATAGCCATAAGTGGATTGGGGGCCTATCGTAATCAACTGGGTGTGAAGCCCCATCACATGCCATCTGTCTCCATTTAAATGGGTCAGAGTTGAAAAAGAGATTCGAGATCTTCTTGCCACTACTCTGAGTTGATTTGAACCGTTAATCTGGGTCGGCGCGCAGGAGGCACCCATGGCTGCCGATATGGATACCCAGCGCAAGCTGGCTCGCATACTGCTCATTGAGCTTATGGCGTGAGTAGAATCATGGATTGCAAAGCGTGGCACAAAGCGCACTGGCTAACACCAGGCTTTATTTGATCTAGATACCAATTTGCCTCCCCAGTACAATGGATTGAAACGCAGGACGTAATCCTCTCTCGCAGGGAGTGCGACAAGATCGTCGAAATCGGGCCCACTCCGACACTCGCGGGCATGTTTCAGCGAACTATCGACAGCAAGTATCAGACTCAAGAGTGCACTAGGCCGAGGCCTCGACGACTTTTGAATTCAGAGAAGAACACCCAAGAAGTTTATTTTGAAGACTCACCTGGTGTCGTTGAATCTAAGCCGAAGGAAAGGACAAATGACGCAGCAAAGCCAGCTACTAAACCGTCTCCTGTCAAAACAGACGTGGCTCCGGTAGCGCAACCAGAGACGATATCGGCACCAAGACCGAAGCCAACAACGATAGAAATCGAGGATGAAGGAGTAAAGGCACAGCTGATTGTGACCGCGATAGTGTCACGAGCGCTCAAAAAGGCGCCGTCTGATGTTGACTGGACCAAGTCTATCAAAGTTCTTGCTGGCGGTAAGTTCAGTCTATAGCGGCCCGTTAACTCTTCTCCCCAGATGCTGATTAACCCAAGGCCGCTCAACGTTGGAAAATGAGGTCGTTGGAGATCTCCATGCAGAATTCGGCTCGCTCCCAGAACGCGTAGAAGACACACCCGTGGCTGAGGTGTGGCAGGCGATCCAGGCAAGCCATAGTGGAGTACTCGGAAAAGTGTCTACAAACATGATCAATTCGCTTTTCACTGCCAAACTGCCCAGTGGCTTCACCACCGCCGCTGCGCGAGATCGACTTAAGACACAATGGGGTCTTAAACAAGGGCGGCAGGATTCTTGTCTACTCCTTGCAACGACAGAGGCACCCGTGACGAGAATTTCGTCTGAACCCGACGCGAAAACTTACATTGACAGCGTCGTGGAGAGCTATGCCTCAAAAAACAGTATTCCTTTACCCACATCTCACGCCTCTGCGGACGGAGCCTCGGCTTCCAATATCATGGTCGACCCAGAAGCACTGAAGGCGATGTCTGAGGCTCAGAAGGCGGTGTCAAGACAGCTCCTTGACATTTATGCCTCTCAGCTCGGTCTAGACCTGGGAGCGGATCGACAAGCATTAGACGCTCTCCATAACGACATCAAAACCGGGCTGCAACCAGAGCTAGATCTCTGGACGGAGGAACACGGGGAAGACTACGCCAACGGTATCAGGCCACGATTCGATTCCCGTAAAGTCCGCACGTACGATTCGGCATGGAGTTGGGCCCGTCAGAGACTCCTCGAACTGTCCGAGCTGGTAACTTCAGCGCAGAGTGGAGATGAAGTCACCCTCGATCAAGGGAATGTCCTGCAGGCGTGCTACGCAATTGCCAATGCGGCAGATGAGACACTACTACATGTTATCAATGAGGTGCTGGCAAAGCTTGGGAATTCTGCAGTTCCGCGCCCGATCTTTACAAATCTAAAGGCTCTGTGCAAGCATGTGCTGG